AACCATTTTCAAGGTCTGGAAGCTATATTGTGCCTCATATGTATCCTGTTTCTGCTCAAATGCTTTGAAAAAAGGCTCATCTAGAGGAATCGTTCTTGTTGCATCCAGAGGAACGAGCGTAACTGGAATGCCAGAATGCAATACCTGATATGTCCATAATCAATACCAATATAGTACTTTAACTAAGCACAGAATGACCATCAAACAACTATATACCATGTACGCAGCAAAAGGATCTCCAAAGATATTGTACTCTCCATACGGATTGCTGTCTTGTTGAAACAGATTACCAATGTCACCACACGTCACTGAAGAGGCATTTCCAGAGCAGGTTGATCTGACAGCACCTCCCATGGCATATATATGCTTAATATTTTTCTTTAAATGAGGATTTGTCATAAGAAAAATGGCAAAATTTGTCTGAATACCCATAAGAAACACAGTGATGGGACCTGCAGATATCGCATCTTTCATCACTTGCTGAGCTTTAGGTTGCTGAAGCGGTACATATTTTCTGTTACCCTGTTCATGTAATCACAGAAATAAATACATACATACATATACATATATATATATAATTGCTACATATAACATGACGTTACCTGCATTTATATAATGATTGCCTAGTTCAACAAACTCTAAATTGTAAAACTAAATCAGGAAAGTAAAATTGGGCTACGATTTGGCACCTTAGGAAGTAAAGCCTTGCGTAAGCCATAGTTTGTATTTACATCTAGACGACCACCTTGGCCCGGTGGTATTGATTGTCTGTATCTACAGCCACCTGCAGTGGACGGTCCCTGCAAACAAAACCCGAAGTTTGGTATGACCGTGACACTCAAACTCATAACAAGCTGTTAAGGTAAATAATCGGTAAACTAGTTTGGTTGAAGTTGAACAATTTTCGGCTATACGCACACCTGGTCAATAATAGGAAGATAACCTCCAACATTAGGCTGGATGGTATCATTTGGCAAAATACCACCTTCACCTCCAACACCAACCGGAATGTCATCACGATCCATCACAGAAAGAATGTCATATACATAATTAACAGCGTGCCCTGCATCGTTCCATCCATTTGTATTAATAGTAATTGCCTGCACAAACCTCAATTACCTTATAATCTATCACCATTGACATGTAGTTCATACAAAATGGCACATCGTGACCTTTCTTTGGCCAGCAACAGTTTTTCCAAAGTGAACTCAACTATTACTGCTGTTAATTATGGGTCCGGTCCGTTTGGCAGTGTTTCTAGACGGGCTAAAATCACTTTCTGACAACCAAAAACGCCTATGACTGCACTTAGCAAATAAAAGTTAAAAGTGATCTATGACTGATATAAGTGCTTCCTGAACAAGCACATGCACTTCCAACTGCCTTTTTTCAGAAAGAACTTGGACTTATAACAAAAATTTCAATTTAGAAGCAATTCTATCAAAATTCAAAAACGCTTATAGAAAAAGTGCTTCCTACATATCCGGTTCCAAACAAACCCAACAGTTATCTTCAACTTAACATGAATTATCAAATTCAGTTTACACTGAAGTGCACCAATTCTGTGTGAAGCTTAAAGAATCAAAATTTACAACATTTCTAGGACGAAAAATTGATGAAATGCAGAAAACGGAGAAGAAGATGAAACCTTGAAGTCGAATTCCGTCTTGTTTTGCTTCAAGAGATAAAAGAAAGCAAGAACATCGTCAACGTTCACATCTGTATCTACCAGTATCCGGTGAGGGTGAGCTTCCACTGGGTTAAGCTGCACAACTCCAAGCCATCCAATCACAGTCAGCATCCAAACAGCTCTTCCCACCATCATCGTCCTCTTCAAGGTGATATCCAGGTTCCAATTCCAAGTGGGAAAGACGCAAGTTCAACTTACCAGCTTGACTTTTTAAGTCCAATCAAAAACATTAAAATACTAGTTTTTAGTTTTCCGTAAACAAAACTGTGGACAGAATCTTAACTTTTTATTTTTTATTAGAGAATGTTTTTAGTCACCACCCTCGATTGATATGATGCTCTTCACAATGATTATCACCATTAGATAAATTTTAATTTTGAAATCTGTGTAACGGATAAACATAAATTTTAAAATTTAAACTCATTTTATAAATAATAAATAAGATGATAAACATTATCACTTCTTGAGGATTGTGAACTGATCACTAAGCAAATCTCGAGACACACTACAACAAGAGCCAACATCACTCGTCAACATTACACGTCAATAGACTCACTTGGAAGTTGTGCAACATCGCTCAGTAGATGACTACATGCCTACTAAGCATTTGACAAAATATCTCACCAAAAGAATAGAAGAAAAAACAAGAATTTGGCAGGCTGAGCACACTATTTCAGTTTTACTCTTGATTTTACTTTGAATTGTTCAGTCTAAAATTGTATAAAAATAAAAAATAAAAAATAAAAAATAAAAAATAAAAAAAAAAGAAGAAGAATTGAAAGGTAATATGCAAAAACAATTTCCTTAAACTATAGCTGAATTTAAAAAAAAATTAAAATAAAAATGTCCTTAATTAAAAATATGGTAAATACAACAGCGGTTATTATACACAAAGAATACTGCATGCATGGATCCCCTGATCTTTTGTTAAGGGTGGATGGCATATATATATATATATATATATATATTGTTATAAAAGGGTTAAAATTTGAGAGAATAACCTTTTCAGTAGTAGGTGCAAGGTGGATGTAAAATGCCACACTAAAACTTATAGCACAAGAGGATAACAAATAAAAGGCAGAGGAATAGATGATATTATTGATATTTCTCTCTTGTTTTCTTCTTCTTATATTTTCTGTTCTATGAAAACATGCGGAGTGCTCTATTTATAGAGCAACTCCAAGTTAATGCATCTTGTAATTTCGTCTGACTATACAATCTCTCACTTTGCATGGGCATTGAAAACTTTGCTCATGCTGAAGACTTTTGTTTTGTGGGCATTCATTGCCATCAGACTGAAGACTTTTCAACATATATATATATATATATATATATTTTTTTTTGTCAACCATGTGCTGCATAAGATGAGCAAATAATTGTTTTGCCAATTTTAAATTTAAATTTCAGAATTCCAAAATGCTATGGGGGGTATTCAGCGATGGGGATATTTTAGGGGTTGCCCAATTTTATAAATCCGAAACGAGGCGGGCGGGTTGGAAAAGCTGTGGAACAATCCCCGGTCCGGACCGACACCCCCACTGCAAAATTCCAAAGTACTTCCACAAATAGCATTTTGGACCTTTGGATTGGACTGCAGAGAGCTCAACAAAACCTTTTTTTTTTGTTCTTTTTCTCTGCGATATCCAATGGCGAAGCCAAGAAATATTGAGTAGAGGGCAAAATTCAAAAGGGTAAAACTGTTGCCAATGAGGTTTTGCAGCAAACAAATTATAATTGTTGCCAACGAGATTTCATGTCACCAAACACCATGCTCATTCACTACAAAACAAATGTTATTACTGAAGATCAAATGATGTCAAAAAGGTATTCTGCCGTTGAAAAAAAAAAAAATCGAAAAAAAAGTTCATCGGTGGTTGTAAAAAAATCTTCCATTGGAAGTACTTTTTTTCCAACCGGGTGGCCATGCTGGCCTGGCGGCACTGTCTGCTTGTATCTGCAACAGCCGGCTGTGGACCCCCCCTGCAATCAAATGCAACCATTGTATGAATGTGATTGATCACTTCTCAACTAAACACACACAAACCTGGTCAATAATAGGAAGAGATCCCCCAATTTGGAAGGATGGTTTAATTCAGTGGCGGAACTAGGATTTTGAAATAATAGAATCATGATTTCAATCAAAAAAATTTTATTGGACCATTTCGTCAAGGATATACTAAGAATACGTCGATTCTTGTCAAGATTTGCTGAAGACTTATGTCAACAACTACTATGATATGTATAGGCTTGTCAAGAGTGGCTACACGAAACTATAGAATAATGTCGAAGATTGTCAATGCTTGTCAACTGAATCATTTCATAAAGTATTTGATGCACACAAGAAGAGAGAAAAGGAAGACAAGGATGTTAATAAAAAGAAGTAGGAGGAGGAAGATACTTCAAATACAATAAACATACAAATATACATAAATTTTTGAAGTTGTTGAGGTCATGGACAACCAATGACCTCATACAGGTTCCACAATTGGTTCCATTAGGCAAAATGCTACCTTCACCTCCAACACCAACATGAATGTCGTTGCGATCCATCACAGAAAGAATGTCGTACGCATAATTTACAGTTTGCCGGGCGTCACTCCATCCATTTGCATTTACAGTAATTGCCTGCAGCAAAAATTAAGTAATGCTCCAGCTAAACAATAGCTACAAATATTACAGACGTTACTACAAAGGAAATTAAAAAAAAAACACCGTCAAGTTGAATTCCGTCATGTTTTGCTTCAAGAGATATAAGAGAACATCGTCTGCATCCACCTCTGTATCGTCAAGAATCCGGCGAGTTTGAGCTTCGACGGGGTTTATCAGATCTCAAAAAACATCCGATTACAGTAAGCATGCAGAGCACTTTTCCGACACATCATTGTTAAGTATTGTCATCCCTCACTGTAACAATATCTCGTCGGACCATCCATGAATGCCGCCTTAGCTGAGATGTCGATCTAGCCCTAATTAATCCGGTTTGTCAGAAAGGTATGTGATTCGTGTCTCTTCAAGTAGTAGCTACGGTTTGCCTGCTTACTATTCTAACTCCTAGTGAATAGGGCGAAAATTTGAACTACGCACATACATTTAAAAAATTTCATCGTAAATGTGAAATACTTGTACAAATAAAATCCAAAGATAGAATTATCTCGCCATCCAGATATAATGAAAATTTGATGCTGGTGATTGGGTTTATTTGAAGTTGGAATCCTATAAGTGTGCAAAAGTTCATAATGCGAAACTCTTTTAGTTTACTCCTAGTGGCTTGGCTCATTCGAAAAAGTATCTTCAAAAAAAAAAAACGAAGATTCTATGGAACGCAAATTTTTATTCGATAGTTGAAAATTACAGAGTTGTGTTTCTTCCAAAAATTGATTGTGATGAGGATAGAATTATGGAAGAAGAGCACATAATTGACAATGCAACTAAATACAAGATAATTGTCAACCAAAAGCATCATCTGCCGGGCAGAAGAATAAATTATCATTACTATGAATCAACGGCCGCGATGATGTGGTCTGCAGGCTCCCCATAGAAAGATCCAGAGAGAATCCGGATCCACGACTTGATCCTAGGCACCCGATAACCATATTTTCCTCTACAAAGCTTGCTACGACAGCAGACTGCTTTTGTTCACCTAACATGTTAGCAAATTCTTCATGATATGCCTCAGGATTTACACTGCTCAGTATCTTCACCATCTTTGACTGATGTTTATCAACGAGTAGCTGCCCGATTACTGATACATCTCCCTCGGCCACCACCTTGAGAGGCGTAAACTTAAAGGTTGGGTTGAGTTGAGGATGACTGCTACCCAAGATTACGGCACCAAGGATTTCCCCTAGAAATGTATCCTGTGAAAGTAGTGACAGAACTGAAACAATGTAAGTTCATCGACAAAGTGTCGTGCATTAGATATATAGCTGAGTGTGTGGAAGTTTACCATGTGACGGTATCTATGATGCTTCTGTTTCAGTTTCCATAGCCTCGAAAGCAGATGCCAGGAAAATACAGCTTCAGGAGTCGTATCTGTTAGCTTTAATTTATCAAGAATATTCTGGAAGGAACTGACTTGCTTCTGTATCCCCAATGGAATCAATGTTATGTTCAGTTTCGAATCAAAAACTGCTTTTGCAGCCGAAGGGTCAAGAAATATGTTGAATTCCGCATATTTGTTTGAAGGAATAGTGAACAGATTCCCTTGCTCGTTATCATGGTGAATGTGTCCCCCAACAATATATACATCCTGCAGGGAAATCATAACAATGAAAATGTCAATCCAATATAAAGGCATGACATACAAATTCAGGCTTAAGTTTCCAAAGCGATGACATTTACCTCGACCACTGAGTCTGAGTTCTCAGAATGAATGATTTCGGCTAAATTTGTCAAAGGTCCATTGGTCAACAAAGTAATCCTGGATCCTGGATCGAGTGATTTTACAATGGACTTCCAAACATCTAGTGCAGTTGGCTGTCCGAGTCCGGGGAATTCCTTGGTTGCGAATCCGTATCTGAGATAGACATAAAGAAGCCATGTAATAAATCTGCCTATCATGCGCATAGATTCATATACAACATCATTGCAACTAGATGTCTACTAGTTTAAATAGACAGTGCTACCTCCTAGGACTACAAGGTAAGGCACGAGCAAATCCATAGAGTGTGTCAGAGTCCAAGGAACCACCACTACCCTGAGGAATGGAACTGATATATGTGCAGTCTCCGAGAGAAGAGAAAGATGAATAAGATTGACCAACTGCAAATACATTTCCAAGACCAACAGGAATATCATCACGGCCCATCATATGCAGTATGTCATAAACAACATCTATGGTTGCAGCGGTTGCCCACCCATTAGCACTAACAAGTATTCCCTGGAAACATCATTTTGTATTAGTAAGAGCTATATCCTCAAAGGCATGTATGTCGAATCCGGAAGCTAGTAGCAAAGTCACAACATATACTATTCAAAATTTGTAATTGCTAGCATGCCACCCTACAAAGGTACTCAGTTAGGCTATTCATTTGTATTAGTGCATCTGCAGCACCAAACCTCACAAAGCTTACAAAGGCAGTATCGTACCTTCAGGTTGACCCGTTCCACAGGTAATTTTAGGAGATATAGAAGAACTAGGAAGTCCCCAGCGCTCATATCCATATCAAATATGAGGGCTTTACCCATCAATTTCTTTCCAAAATCTGGTTTTCGATGTACACTCTCATGGAGTGGAAGCTGTGTTCTAATATTCGGCCGTCCAGTTTTCTTAGGTCGATTTATAACCTGCATTTGACACAATTATGAAGTTATCATTCTGAATCAAGTACAAAGAGAAAAAAGTTCTCCAACAAACTTTTGTATGTCGTACCGGAGAGGACCTAAAATTGATAGATTTTAATCATAAACTTACATCCAAGAAACTGCCATAGAAATCTTTGGCACGAATGCTGTTGCTATCGCGATCTCGCTTAGCTCCAGTTGCAACAAGTACGGTAACTGCTTCTGCACCAGTTGTCTCCTTTGTAAAACCATCCTATTAGCATTGTCCAAACTTCAGTTAGTTGTTACAATTAAAAGGCGTAGGGTTATTAAGAAATCAATGAACGTATTACAGAGAAACTGGTGTAGTAACTGAAAGCATACCTGACATTTTCCTTTCCCCTCTTTGATGAGGCAAAACGGGTCTTCCATTCCCGTCTGAACATGACCACTATGCACCCCGTTCTTCTGTACACCGAACTTTGGGATCAAATGCCCATCAATGAGAGGGTTTGAGCCGTCTGATATTCCATAAGGTCTGTTTGAAGTAACCACTGTGAGGTTCATGTACTCCAATTTGGCAAATTCATTTTCTCTGTGACCTCTCTCTAAACTATGCATTTGAGATAACGCTACACCAACCATAAAAGGATCCCACAAGCAAAATTCCTGCGAAATAGTTAATAACTTATGAAATATATCATAGGAAACTACCTCTCTCTAAACTATGCATTTGACATTCATCTTACTATTAAGATTCAAGAATCAGTGCATAATTGCAGAATTTTAGCACATACATAGAAGAATAAGATATCATAGGAAACTACCTTATAAAATTCATCATTCGACCATGTATCACGAACCATTTTCAAGGACTGGAAGCAATATTGTGCCTCATATGTATTCTGTTTCTCCTCAAATGCTCTGAAAAAAGGCTCATCTAGAGGAATCATTCTTGTTGCATCCAGAGGAACGAGCGTGACTGGAATGCCAGAATGCAATACCTGATATGTCTATAATCTTTACCAATTTTGTACTTTAACTTAGCATAGAATGTCCATCAAACAACAATTTACCGTGTACGCAGCAAAAGGATCTCCAAAGATGTTGTACTCTCCATACGGATTGCTGTCTGGTCGAAATAGATTACCAATGTCACCACACAGCACTGAAGTGGGATTTCCGGAGCAGGTTGATCTCACAGCACCTCCCATGGCATATATATGCTTAATATTTTTCTTCAAATGAGGATTTGTCATAAGAAAAATGGCAAAATTCGTCTGAATACCCATAAGAAACACAGTGATGGGACCTGCAGATATCGCGTCTTTCATCACTTGTTGAGCTGTAGGTTGCTGAAGCGGTACATATTTTCTGTTACCCTGTTCATTTTAAACACAGGAATATATAGTTGCCAGATATAACATGACGGTACCTGAGTTTATATAATGATTGCCTAGCTCAACAAACTCTAAATTGGAAAACTAAATCAGGAAAACAAAATGAGGGTACAATTTGGTACCTTCGGAAGTAAACCCTTGCGCATGCCATAGTTTGTATTTACATCTAGACGACCACTTTGACCTGGTGGTATTGATTGTCTGTATCTACAGCCACCTGCAGTGTATGGTCCCTGTAAACAAAATCCTAAAGTTTGGTATGACCGTGACATTCAAACTTATAACAAGCCATTAACGTAAATAATCGGTAAACTAGTTTGGTTGAAGTTGAACACTTTTCGGTTATACACACACCTGGTCAATAATAGGAAGATAACCTCCAACATTAGGCTGGATGGTATCATTTGGAAAAATACCACCTTCACCTCCAACACCAACCGGAATGTCATCACGATCCATCACAGAAAGAATGTCATATACATAATGAACAGCGTGCCCGGCATCACTCCATCCATTTGTATTAACAGTAATTGCCTGCACAAACCTCAATTACCTTACAATCTATCACCATTGACATATAGTTCATACAAAAAGGCACATCATGATCTTTCTTTGGCCAGCAACAGTTTTTCCAAAGTGAAATCAACTATTACTGCTGTTAACTATGGATCCTTTTAGCGGTGTTTCTAGACGGGATAAAATCACTTTCTGATAACCAAAAACGCTTATGACTTCACTTGGCATAAATTAGTTAAAAGTGCTTTATGGGTCCTATAAGTGCTTCCTGAATAAGCACATGTACTTCCAACTGCTTTTTCAGGAAAAACTTGGACTTGTAATAATATTTTCAATTTAGAAGCAATTCTATCAAAATTCAAAAACGCTTATAGCAAAAGTGCTTCCTACATAACCAGTTCCAAACAAACCCAATAATTATCTTCAACTTAATATGAATTATCAAATTCAGTTTACAGTGAATTGCCCTGATTTTGTCTGAAGCTTAAAGAATCATATTTACAACATTTCTAGGACGAAAATTTGATGAAATGCAGGAAAAAAATTGAAGGAAAAAAAAAAAAAAGAGGAGAAAAAGATGGAACCTTTAAGTCGAATTCCGTCTTGTTTTGCTTCAAGAGATAAAATAAAGCAAGAACATCGTCAACGTTCACATCTGTATCGACAAGAATCCGGTGAGGATGAGCTTCCACTGGGTATAGCTGCACAACTCCAAGCCATCCAATCACAGTCAGCATCCAAACAGCTCTTCCCACCATCATCGTCCTCTTCAATGTGATATCTGGGTTCCAATTCCAAGTGGGGAAGACGCGAGTTCAACTTACCAAGTGTTGGATGAACTGATCACTTGGTAAATCTCTACACGCGCTGAAGCATGAGCCGATATCACTCGTCAACACAGGTTAATGGCACTCACCGTTACGCGTTCATATACTCGCTTGGAAGCCGCAGATGAGTGCATGGCCGCCAAGTGTTTGACGAACGGCGTTTTGTTCTGACATTAACATAAATCCTTGATGTATTCAATTCGGATTTTTTGGGATTTAAATTTATTTAACAAATTTAGAGGTATTTAATTAGGATTTTAAGTGCTTATCTGAAATTCAATATGTATTCAATCAAGATTTTAAAATAGTTTATTAAAATCCTTAGAAATCCGAGTATATTCAATTAGAATTTTAAAGAAGTTTATAATATTTCAGGTGTATTCAATCAAAATTAGAATTTAAAGAATTTGGAAAAGTTGAGGAATTAGAGGGAACTGAAGAGATTTTGTAGTGTATTTTAAGCATCCACAAATCTCACATTTCCTTATGAGATTTCGAGGGAATTAAATAAAAATTTTACATAGAATCTCTACAAATCAGTTAAACTCTATAAAAATTCATGGATTTATAAATCCATAAAAATCTCTCGAATTCCCAATTGAATACATCTTTAAATATAAAATTGATAGACTAGTCCTAAGTTTTCTATCGTCAATCATTTTGACCGTTTTCTAAAATTTTCGTTAAGTAAGAAAAATATGACAAAAGTACTTTAATTTTTGTCAATTTATTTAGGTTCATTTTTATTAAATTGAAGATATTTTTGTTGTTTTGACACTTATTTAACAAAAAAATTTCACGAAGTGACTTAAATGATTGAAGGTAGACTAATTCAGAGATCATTTCTATTAATTTTAAATCTTAGAAACCAAAATAAATATTTATGTTATTCTCACGAACCATTTTAACTAAAATACCTTAACGAAATGTTTCACTTAAAAAAATCTCAAAGGATCGCCCTATTTCCATCTAAAAGAAGTTTAGATCTTTTAACAAGGGCCCTCCAAAATTAAAACTCAAAATCCACCACTGCATCATAACAATCCATCACTTGCAGTCTTAACTTATTTATATAAATTATGGGAATGGTTTATGTACTTTTTTATCATTTTGGTAGGTTATAGTCTAATAAATATTGAGTCGCCCCCCAGTTAACCCAATTAGCACATTTGTTAATTGATTGCTGAAATTCCTTGGAATATGAAAATTATGGGGAGGCAGATCCTCTCCATACATACAGAACATACGGATCAAATAATCCTTGCCCTTCAAATTGATCTCACGGTCAAAAGCTGTTGTAGCTTTCAAAGTTTTCACTACCTTTCTTCTGCCTTTTCAATGGCAGCTGGAATGTAGAACGCACTTGTGCTCCGTTTGTGTGGTGATGATCCGGAGAGAATCTGCTTCCACAATAGTTTTTGGTTGCATGGTCAATTACAAAGCCAAAATTATTTGATCCCTAGGCTCTGGTCAAGGAGAGTTATGCACTTTCTACACGGACAAGAAGTGTCACGTTATAATCGGAAAAAAAATTTCTCTTCGGATCTCTCCCTCCAAAACCTAGGATCAAGTGATCGGGTTTTTAAAATTTGATCCAACAGCTAAAAACTAGTAAAAACTTTTAAAAGCTATAATCATTTTTAACCGTTAAATCAAATTTTTAAAAGCCCGGATCACTTGATTCTTGGGCTTTGGAGGGAGAAATCCAAAGAGGATCTCTTTCCGTTTTCACCACACAGACGGAGTACAAGTGCATTCTGGATTCTTGCTAAAAGGCATAGAAGACTTTTGAAAGCTACAATAATTTTTGGTCACAGGATAAATTTCAAAACTAAGATGATTTGATCCCTAAGCTCCGAAGGTATAGATCCAGAGAGAATTTGGTTCCTATTTAGAGGACTTTAATGATGTATACATGGAAAGAAAATGATTTATGCAGGCATTTTGTTTCTCTTTTGATACACCCATACAAAGGAAAGGGAAACAAAACCCTTGACTTACCTATTCTCCTATAGAAATAAGACATGCATGAATTTTTTTTTTTAAAAACTAATGAAAATGACTTGAAAACTTTAAGTTTTAACGATAAAGAAAAAATAAAAAATAAAGTGAATAGTACTATGGTTGATTTTTTAATGTAAAAATATAATATTTCGTTAAAGTGAACAGTACCGTGAATATTTTCTTAATTCCAACGACTATACAAAACCATCCAGTCGTTCGGACTTGTGGGTTTCTCGATACGTGAGCAGCTCTCACTACTCATCAGTCATCACCCAACAGTCAGCCCCATGTCCCCAAAGGGACATCCAATAAAATTGAAAGAGTCAGCCCCATATATTTTTAGCTACCAACTTACCCAATTTCCAATTTTCCAAATTTTAGGGTTTATCAAAATATGAAAAGTACGATAAATCGTATGATAATAGTTAGAGAAGATGAAATACCTTTACGAGTCTTTTAGGTCTCTAAAATGGTAGGCTATCATGACGAAGTTATCAGTTAATCCTCTTTTTGAAGAAAGAAAAATCTGAAAAGTACTCAATGGATGGAGTAATTTTTCAATGTACCAGAAATACAACGATATACACATATCATTATACAATTAGAAGAAAATCTGTTGTTTCAAGCATCTCTCTAATCGTATAGTAACATACAGTGTACCATGTCATCGTGTTCCAGACACATATCATTATACAATTAGAAGAAAATATGTTGTTTCAAGTATCTCTCTAATCGTATAGTAACATATAGCGTACTGTGTTGTCGTGTTCCGGATAAACTGAAAACTTTTTTCAGTCCCTGGATCAGAAGAGCCAAATGGGCCCCAAAATTTGAATGCCAACCCATCCCCCCAAATTCAAACGTATGAGTGACCATCTCTCTCTCTCTCCTCTCACAAATCACTATCCTTTATAAATCTTCCCACCAACCCCACATCTCAGCCATTGGAAGTTTAGAACCCTAGAAAAAAACCCTAATCCTCTAAAATCCCCAATCTCACATTTCCTACCACCAACATCAACCACAAAAAATGGCCAAAAAGAAAGTGACCCTCCAACCCAATGACACCAAAGAAGAAACCCATCACTCCAAAACCCACCACATTACCCACAAAGCCGCCGCCGCCGCCATGGACGAGCCGTCCGAGAAGCTCGAGAACCTCAAGTCGCTGAACTCTCTGCTGCTCAAGGAGACCAAGGATCGCCGGCAGCAGGTGGAGTCGCTGGTGCAGGCCAAGGCGGGTTTGGAGTCCGAGCTTAGTCGGTTCCTAGTGGAGAGTGAGTCGCTTGTGAGCGAGTTGAGTGAGAAGAGCGAGGAAAATGTTGGGTTGGAGTTGGAGAAGAGTGTTTATGGTGTTTTTGTTCTGGCCCAGATGGGGCAAATGATGAGAGAGAGAGTTGAGATTGAGAGGGCGATGAGTGAGAGAGATGGTGAGATTGTGGAGTTGAAGAGGGAAGTGGAGGAGCTTGCGGGTGGACTCGAAATCGAGAAGGGGAAGCTGAGCAGAGTGTGCTGGGAGAGGGATTGTGTGAAGAGGGATTTTAGTGACCTCTCGGAGGAGGCGAATGGGTTGAAGTTGAAAGTGGTGGAAATGGAAAAGAAGGAGAGGGTTTTCGGGGAGGAATTCGAGAAGCTGAAAGTGCATTGCAATGGGTTGGTGCGGGACAAGGCTGGGAAGGAGAGGGAGGTTGAGATTGCAATGAGAGAGAAGGAGTTGGCTGAGATGAAGCGCGATGAGTCGGAGAGAGTGATCGATGATTTGAAGAGGGAGATTGAAAGGGTTGTGATGGAAAAGAATGAGATTGAGAAGGAAAAGAGCAGGCATGAAGCGAGGATTTTTCAATTGGAGAATGAAGCGGGGCAGTTGAGTAAGATCGAATTGGGTTTGAGGAAGGAGAATGCAGTGTTGCATGTGAAGGTTTTGGAGTTGGAGAAGAGTGTTGAGGAGGCTACGGGGAAGGGAGAGGTGTTGGAGAGGGAGATTAAGGTTTTGGGGGAAGAGAAGAGGGAGAAGGAGCAGAGTTTCAAGAAGTTGACTGAGGAAGTGAAATCACAGAAGGAACTTTTGGATACGGTTACTGAGGAATTGAAGAAAAAGGAGGAAAGAATCAAGGAAATCGAGCTAAAGAAGAATGAGATCAAGGAGGCAAAAGTCAGGCAAGAGAAGGAAATTGCTGAGTTGACAAGTCAAGTGAAAGAAGAAAGGGATTTTGTTTCTACATTGCGAAATTCATGCGACGAGCAGAAAGAGAAGAATGTGCAGTTGGTTTCTGAAGTTAGTCGATACAAGGATGCTCTTGATCGTGTTACACAGGAGAAGGCAGAGGCTCTGAAGAATTTGGAAGGGGAGAAGAAACAAGTGGAAGACTTAATGCTGACCATTTCGGGGAGGGAGAAGACAATCAAAGAAATCGAGAAAGAGTTGGAGAAACTGAGGAGTGTGCGTGAGAACATTGCTGAGAAAAATAAGGCCATGGAGAGCCGGTTGGAATCACTGGTGAAGGAAAAAGATGTGCTGCAGAAGAACCTTGTTGAGACTCGGAGAAAAATTCGTGATTGGGAAGCTAAATTTGAAACAGAAGGAACCAAAATGGAGCTTGCTTTGACTCTGCTGAAGAACACTGCAGCACGTGTATCTTTGAAATCCGAAGGCAAGGAAGAAGTGGCTACCAATGATCCCAAGGTTGGCGAAGAAATTAAGCCAATTGCTGCGGAGTTGGATGCCATACAGACTGCTTTCAGAAACAAGGAAAAGATGGTTGGAGACTTGCAGAAACAACTCGAGTCTATGCAGAAGTCATCCGAGGCACAGAAGAAGAAGAGTTTCTGGACTTTGATCTCATCAGCGACAACCCTTATTGCTGCAGCATCTTTTGCATATGTTTCCAAAGCGCGCTGAGTGGCTCGGTTTGGTAGTCAGTTTTGTTCTTGGATCAACCTGTCAAGGGCTACTTGACGGCACGGCTATGTCATGCAATGTTTGCCCCTTTTCAACTTCTAATCTAGATAATAATGTTTTTGGTGCAGAAATAGGTCTCAATGGGATACTTTGATATGCTGTGCTCTTTTTCTACATGAAGGAATATGAATATCTAATCTTGTTCTTCGTATCCGTTTATGAGCAATTTCGTTACAACGGTAGCTTCCT